CCTTCCAGGAGGAGATCTTTCCACAGAATGCTGCTGAGAGATAAATAAGTAACAAAAAGAGCATACCAAAGGTTTATCTATTTTACTGAAAGTATTTGAAGCTCTTCATAATCATACGTGCCTGCGAAGCTGAGAAATGTGTGTTTGCCACATGCAGTTGCAGATGGTTGTGGCATCTGAAGCAGATCAAATGGGTTGTACAATTTCTCATATTGCTCTGGAGCCAAAGCATCTTCTTTTCAAACACTTAAGGAAATATTTGGATTTATTTCCCAAACAGTGCTGAGAGTTTGATTTGAAGATCTACTTCGTTTTGGGGGGCTATGGCATTTCTATGGCATTTCTGAAAGTTAGGCTCCCAGCTGTTTTTACAGATCTCTATTATATTACACATGAAAATAAAAACAATATAATAAGCTGCCAAATGAAAGCAACCAAAAATGAACTGTTTCTTGAAACTCTGCTCCTCTACCTATTGCACCTCTTCATCTCATCCTCTCCCTGCCTTGAAGAAACTCATGCCCAGATTAACAAGTACTCCCCACCTTCCAAGATTAACAAATCCAATCTCTTTTGCATATTATCAGGGATCAAGCTCTAGAATCAAGGGCACAAAAAACCCTGCACCTCTCCATCAGATCAGAGTTATCCGAGTGTTTTCTTCGCTTCTGTTCAGCTAATGTAGCAAAGCTCAATGCAAAACCACACAGAAGGGGAAGTTTATTTTATTTTAAACTGATGTCATGCATACTTTCTCTCACAGACTGTTCTCAGTCCTTCTTTCATGTGTATGAGGATGGAGATGTGTGTGGCCATGTAGCCTCGACAGGACTCTCTGTGGTGCAAGGCAGGAGCCGAGGGTAACCCAGCACAGGCAATGCCTTCACTGACTGGGTGCTGTCCCGAAATATGGCACGCAGACTTGGATACTGATAACAGGGTCCATCAACAGTCCCAAACAAGGCAAAGTTAATGAATCAGGTCCAGGGGCGGTCCAGGAATAGCAGGAGATGGGCCAGAGACAAGGCTTGAAGCAAGGCTACAGCATAGGTCCAAGGTCCAACTAGGAGACATGGCTGGAGACAAGCTACCTCCAAGATAGATCTGAGGTTCATCTAGGAGTCAAGGCTGGAGAAAAACTGCCTCCAGCGTAAGTCTGAGATCCACCCAGGAGGCAGCCCTTGGTTTTCCAGAGCCTGGTGCCTTCAGAAGCTGCACATACCATTCCTTCGCCCCTGCTTGTTGTTTCTTGATGATTTCACACTTGTACATTGTCATTCATACCTCATCCATACCAACCTTAATGTATCTATGTCAAATCCCTATGGGTGTACCATCACATTAGAGGAGAAGTCTTTACCTGGTGGCCAGGTTGTAAACAATTCAATGCAAACCAAGACTTCAGTCATCATCAGGAAGCTAATCAAAAGCTAGTGCAGACTGAAAACAGCAGTGTAAGACGCTACCTATGTGAAACAGAATTTAGCAAACAGTCTGCTGCCCCCTACATGAGCTCTGTCTTTTGAGTGTAGCCCCCATATTGAGCACTTCACAGTAATGTAATCTCACATGCAATTTTCTCAGCATGGTTCTCTGCAGTGATAAGCTGTATTTACCATGCAGTTAGCATAGTCAAAAATCGAGAGCGTTCTATTTAAAACTAATAAAATAAATTCTTGATTATTATCTTCTGGTAAGCCTGGCTTTGTGGAGTGTGCAGAGCCTCAGTGCAAGGATTGTGGACTTCGAAATATAGAACATAAGGTAATTTGGAGCAATGTAGTTTCAGTTAAGCAAACATAAGGGTATATTCATTCCAATACACTCTCAGCAAATCATTTGGCTTTATATAGTTAAGCTTTTACGCAATTTCTTGTTAGCTAAACTTATTTCAACCTCCATTCTGCAGATTTATCTCAGATTTCCTAGAAGGAGGCTGTAATTTGTGGAGCATATTGTACTCATTTGGTGTAACTTTGAGAAATAAAAAATGTGTGCATTGTAATGAATGATACTATAATTTCTGACTTTCCTTCAACAAAACTATCTTATTAACAGCTCTATATTGAAATAGACCACCGTTTTATCCCTGGCACAAAAACTTAAGGGAAAAGCAATCCATTTTGTCAGAGCATACCTTGGTAAATCTAATTCCATTCCAATAAATGAGCAGTGCAAAGAGGATTGGAGCTTACCATGAAATACCGAAATAAAGGTCAGATTTGTAGCAAGCATAAATCAAGATTCTTGCATGGCTTAAGTGGATTTATGCCCATGTATACTAGGCAAGAATCTGGCTCATTACCACTGGATGAACTACAAATAGAGCGTCAAGCAGGAGTTTGAGTTTTAACAATTATTTCCTTGACTTGTTAGCTTAAATCTGATTCTAAATATTTTGAAGACTTTTTGTTCACCCTAACTGAGGAGGAAGTTGATCTGGAAGCTGGTTAAGTTCCCTCCCTTGAAAGTAAGCTTTTCAAACAAGGTCTGTGCAGTGTTATTAAACAGCTTGAGCAGAATGAATTGTTGTCAGCTTTTCCAGTCCATACATTTCAGGTTTTGAAATGTAGCCTTTAGGGCAACATAAATAACACAAAATCAATTGATCGACTGTCCAAGGTTGCGATGATTTGGTGGTGCTCAGGAGGAGATGATTTGATGTTATAGACTCATTCCCCTTTGAGGCACTCTCCTCCAGATAGTGCCGTGTGAATATTTAAAAAGCACGCAGCACACAGAAATTGAGCAAAGTGCAGTACAGGGGAGAGCAAGCCCATGCTAGGATCTGTGCAGAATTGCAGGAGAGTCTGAATAATCATCTCACAGGGTTTAACATTCGACATGGTTGCATCAAGCTTTTCTCGGAGCAGGCGTCCCACCAGCGTTTGTGGATGGCCTAAGCCAGCGCAGCTGCTGAGAGAAGAAACCTCTGCTCTGCCTGCATTGCTGGCTTTTCCATCGCCCCTTGTTTGTGCTGGCATCAGGATTTGTACAATTGCACAATGAAGCCGACCGGGAATCATTCAGCTGGAAGCAAACCTAACAACGACAACAAGTTAGTTCCCCCAAGGCCATGGCTTTCAGCAGTGCAGCCAGACTGTTGTTCATTGAACTCTGCTCTCCCAGTGGGCTGGAGAAGGAGGTTAAGGTCACTGCTCAGCAGAAGGACGGCTACCTGCCATTTTCTCTGTTAAATGGGTTCAAGTGCAGCTGGGACAATGGATTCCAGTCCCAAAACACTGACTCCTTGGCCCTCAGCAGGGCTGAAGAGAGGAGGGGGAGGGACAAGCAGGAGAGAAACATGGACCATGGGGAACGTCCCTGTTGGGCAAAAATGGGGAAGATCACAGATCAAGCACTTCACCTACAGGATCTCTGCCTTGAGACCAGCCAAGCTCTGGCAAAGTCAGATTTGGTTTGTGAAACCCAAAAGCGGCTCACAGATATTTTTTTCCCCTGGGTATCAATTGATGAATAATGAATGCTTTTATGCTGTGCCATTCTCTCCATTTCCTTCGCTATTACTA